GCGCCACGTGCAGCAGCAGCAGCCGCTTGTGGACGCTGCCGGCCAGCCGCAGCAGCCCCGCCACGTCGCACCAGGCCAGGCGGAACCCGCCGGCACCGCGGGGCGGGCGGCTCTGGAGCAGTGCAGCCGCGGCAGGCGGAGAGGGGGAAGCGCCCGAGCGGCCGCTGTTGATCTCCGTTTGCTGCTGCGGCTGCGGCTGCTGCTGCTGCTGCTGCTGCTGCTGCTGCTGCTGCTGCTGCTGTTGCTGCTGTTGCTGCTGTTGCTGCTGTTGCTGCTGTTGCTGCTGCTGCTGCTGCGGCTGCTGGGGTGCTGGTTGAAATCTTGCATGCTCGGCAAGCCCTGCCTTTGCTGCCACCGCTTCACCGCTGCTGCTCCCTTCCGCCGGCGGGCCGGCCCTCAGCCACAGCGGCACCACCACGACACAAAACTCAGAGTGCGCCAGCTCCGGGTGGAGGGGGTACAGCACAAAGTGGCAGCCGTAGGCGCCGCCTGGCCGCGGCAGCCAGCCCTTCGACCGGAAGTGGTGGTATGCCGCATACAAGAAAGGGAAGTCCCCGGCGCCGCCCGCGCCGCCGCTTCCGGCGTCGCAAGCGGCGGCCCCAGGCGCCGCGGCGCCTGGCCAAACGAGCGGCGCGTCTCGGGCCGCCGCGGCTGCGCAGCACCAAGCCCACAAGCCGTCGTCGTCCAGGCGCCGCGCCGCGGCGCAACGCCCGACCAGCGACCCCCCTGGCTCCGCTCCAGGCGGCTCTTGCAGCAACGGGTCCTCAGGCACGTAGCTGCCCAGCGGGGGCCCGCCGCTGCCGCCACCGTCACATGAAGCCGCCTTGATGCCGCCGACCTCGGAAAGCTGCTGGTTTTCCTGCTTGTGCCAGAGAGCTGGCTGCTGCCGCCCCTGACCCTGACCCTGCCCCTGACCCTGACCCTGCCCCGACCCCTGTTGGTGCTGCCCAGCCACCCTGAGGCTGCCCAGGACGTGGGCCAGGAAGAACGCCTCCTCCAGATCAAGCCGCACCAGCTGCAGCCCGCCTGCATTCCCCTCTTGTACTGCCGGACCATCGGCCGAACGCTGACCTGGCGCGCCCGCCGGCTGGGGTGCATCCGCCGGCGAGGGGGCACCCGCCGCGTCTGGGAGTGGAAGCGAGGTCCACAGGGCTGGCGATCCGGCTGGGCCGCCTGGCGGCGGCTGTGCGGGTGCCGCCGCAGCGTGCGCGCAGAGTCGCGGCGCGGCGTCGGGCGGTGCCGTCGTGGGCGGCCCCGCATGTCCGTCCGGGCACTGCCGCCGCCGCTCTGCAGCGTCCTCCTCGTGGTGCTGCTGCTGCTGCTGCTGCTGCTGCTGCTGCTGCTGCTGCTGCTGCTGCTGCTCCTCCTGCTGCTGCTCCTCCTTCTGCTGCTCCGGCTCCTGCTGCCGGGCTTCCGCGCCTGCGTGCGCCCGTGGCCAGCCCCCCTGGTGCGCCCGGTCAGCCGCCGCGTGCGACCGCCTCTCCAGCTCCCGCCCCCGCTCCTCGTCCAGCAGCAGCTGCCTATCCCGCTGCTCCGCCCAGAATTCGAGCAGGCACGCCGGCGCGGCGCTCTCCCCGACCGCCGCCGCGACCTCGGCCGGCGACACGGCGGCGGCCGCGCCTTGGCCCAGCTCCTGCTCCCCAGCTGCCCCTTCCCCAGGACCGCCTTGACTCAACGTAGCTTCATCCTGCCAACCCTCCTCCTCCTCCTTCTCCTCCTCCTCCTCCTCTTTCTCAACAGTATCATTGCCCTCCTCCTCATCTCCCCCATCATCCTTGTCCTCCTCAGCTTTGTCAGCCGCCTCGTCCTCCCCCACCTGCTGCTGCTGCTGCTGCTGCTGCCGGCGCCGCGGCCGCGGCCGCGCCTGCCGGCGCGGCCCCTGCCGCCAGCCCACGCAGCACACGTCCAGCAGCCACACCACGGGCTCCCGCGCGGCCAGCCAGACTGCCTCTTCAGCTGCCAAGCCCCGCAGGTCTAATTGGCTCAAGACAGACAGCATCTGGGGGGGCGTGAGGTGCCCCACGCGCCTACTGCGCTTCCATTTGGTCATGGCCGCCGCAAAGGGGTGGCAGCGGCGCCGGCACGTTGGTCACGCCCCTAGCGCTAGAGCCGAGCGCAGCGAGATGGGGGGCGTGTGCGGGTGCGCGGCGCGCAACAGACCCTGCGGGCGGCTCACGGTCTCCGCCGCTGGTGGGCGAACTGCGATGGGTGGGGAGGGGGTCGCAAAGGCAGGGCGGGGGTCAGCCGGACGGCGACGTCTGCTCGGCAACCCCCCACCCGGGTGTTTCAGCAACCCGCAAACCGAGGCAGCATCCAGCCGGCGCGTAAAAAAATGACACATTAATGGCAAGACGGTGCACCCGAAGGGTCGATGCCGCCAAAGCGCAAGCGCGTGTCGTGTCTAATGCCATCGGCTCGGCCGCCGGCAAGCGAACCGCCAGCAAGCAAACCGCCAGCGAGCAAGCTGCTGGCACGAAACCGCCAGCGAATAACTGCCGGCCGCACCTCTCTTGTGAAGCACTGCTGGAGGTCCCGAAACTCGCGCTCACAGCTGCCCCTCTCCACCTGCGCATAAAGCAGCGTGTGGCCGCATGCGAGCAGGGAGGGTTGGGCGCGCCGGGGATGCGGGCCCGGCCAGCGGCTGTGGCCAGGCCCTTTGGCGGCGCGGGCGGCAGCCTGGTGGGGGCGCGGCAACGACGTGAACGCGGATTCACCTCTGGCAGCTTTGCGGCCGCGCACGTGGCGTAGGCCTGTGCCTGCGAAGCGGAGCGGGAAGGCACACGTGCGCCGCGTGGCGCCTTGGCCGCCATTGCCGCCGCTGCCACTTGCCAGGGTCTCAGCTTCCCTCTCAGCATAGCCGGTTCAAAGGGGCCGCCTCAGCAAGGGGACGGCGCATGTCCAGGCTATGGCAGTGCCGGTCGCCCCGCCGCAGCGAGGGAGGGGCCCCCACCTGCTGCCCGCAGCTCTTGAGGCTGGCGGCCAGGGCGGCCATGTAGCGCTCAGACAGCGTCGCGGCGCCTGCGCCACCGCGGCCAGCGGGCATGCTGCCCACGCCAGGCAATGCTAGGCTGTTGAAAACTTCCTGCTGTAAAAAGTGATTGAGCTGGGCCGTGCAGTTCTGCTATTCGACAATCAAACTGCGAGCGTCAGAGATCTGCGCAGCACTTGCGCTACGTATAAGAGATGGGATTGGTCGCGTTGGGTGCTGCGGTTTGAGTTGGCGAGACTGTCGCATACGGAACGTGCTGGTGTCTGTGTCGGGTCACCATGCGCGTCACCGGAGCTTCAGTGTCTCAGCATGCACTTGCTCATCATGGCACATCGTGCACGCCTGCACCTGCCACCTGGCCGCCGCCACCTGAACAGATACGTCCTAGCTGGGTCAAGCCGCTGCTGTGCCCCGTGCTTTGCCTTGCGACCGCGCACGAAGCCGCCGCGCAGCTGCCGTGCTGCGTCTTTCTGACCGGCTGTGGTGTCCTGGCGACGGCCGCCGCTCAAATTGCTCTGGTTACTCAGGTTACTGCCAAGACAGAGCCAGGCGGGGACCCGCACAGCGCATCATTCAGGAGGCCGAGAGGTGCAGGCAAAAAAGAAAGAGGAAGGCGCGGCGCGGCGCGGCGATGCAGGGAGGGGCGTGCGGCCGCCGGCAGCGGCGGGCAGCCGCCCCCTGCGCCGCGGCCGGCGTTCGGCGGGTGGCGCCGGGCGGGGCAGGCGTGCGGCGTGTGCATGGGTGACGTGGCAGCGAGGGCGGCCGCTGCAGCTGGGCCGTCGGATGGGCGGGGGAGGGGGCGCCAAGAGGAGGAGAAGGGGGAAGGGGCCCGCGGGGGGCGCTGCGTTCCGACAATCAAAGCGCAACTGCTAGGCAGCTTCATCAAGGTCGTCGCCGCGGCCCCGTGGGCGCGGCGTCGGCGGCGCGGCTGCTGCGACCAAAGCGGCGGGGGCCCCGCGGGCCGGGCGTTGCGCCGCTCAAACATTCAGAGGCGGGAAATAAACAGAACAAGTCCCCGGCGGCTAAGACACGCGGCAGGCGAAAGGACGAACGGGGGGCCGCCGCGACGAGGGGCCGGGGGCGCCGCCGGTGCCGCGCCGGGCGCCGGGGTCGGCATGCGGCATCAGCGCGCGGGCGGCCCGGCGCGCGGCCCCAGCGGGGGCCCTGGCTGTCGGCCCCAGATCACTCGTTGTAGTCCAAACTGGCCTCATAGCTGCAGTGCAGGGCGCGGGAGGGGGGGTGGTTGAGGCAGGGCCAGGGGGCACGAGTGAGTGCTGGGCGCTCTGCGTGAGAAGAGGCGGCGAGGGCGCAAGCGAGGGGGCGAGGGGGCAAGGGAGCAGGGGGCAGCCGCAGAGCCCGCCCGACACCCGGAGAGCCGCATGCCGCGCACGCGAGCCGCGCAGGGACGCAACAGAGGGGCGATCTCGAGGACTCCGAGTGATGGAATCGTGTCACACAAGACACGCACGCAGGCATGCACATACACGCACGCACACACATTCACTGCACGCACACGCTCACATGCACACACACACACACACACACACGCCGCCTCACCCCGTCCCCCCCCCCCCACCTGTCCATGGCGTCGTCGATGTAGTCATCCGTCTCCTGCAGCCCGTTGAACGCCGCGGTGCCGGCCTTGCGCGACTCCTGCGTCCAGATCAAGTCGGGGCGCACCAGATCAGATCAGATCAGATGGGTCGGACATGCGCAGCAGGCGCAAAGAAACCGCAACCGAGAGATTGGGGCGGCTGCGCGTCTTCAGTCCAAGAACCGAGGCTGGCTGAGAGAAAGACCATCAAGCTGCCTTGGCCCCGCCTGAGCGGGCGCCCAGACGGGCGCCAGAGCGACGCGGCGGGCGGGGCGGCGCGGCGCGGCGCCCGCAGCGCCGGCGACGGCAAGATTGCAAGTGCGCACCGTGACTATGCGCGCGATCTCCTCCTTGGACTGCAGCCCCTCCGGCGGCGGCTGCGGCCGGTCGTTCATCTCCCTCACGCCCGGCGGCAGGTTGCGGGTGTACCAGGGGTGGCTGTAGATGCCATCGATGGTGAGGCGCTTGGAGGGGTCCGCCACCAGC